TAGAGCTATTACAGAGCAAGAAAAATGGCAAAATATAAATGAAGTAATGTTTTGCTCAATTTGGTTGTAACTCCAGAATGCTGCTTGCATTAAATGCCTTTTGATTAACTGCAGAACAAAAGGGTCAAAGGATAAATCATTATGGCAAAACACCCTAAAATCTATCAAAGAAGGAAAAAAAAATCTACGATCTGAGAGTCTGTAACCTGTTACTTAGGCCAGAGGTTCTTGAATGCTCTCACGACAAATGGAAAACTGTATGAATTTTCCTAAAGGGCCCATAGTTTACAGATTCTCAAACGGAGTCCTTAGGCACACTCACTCTTGGCCCCAAAGTAACGAATCACACATTTTTAAAAAAGAATCAAAGCATTCTGGTCCAAGGCAGATCAGAGTCAAATAAGCATTTGGTAAGTGTCATAGTCCAGCAATACCACAAATTTATGGGAAAAGGACTATGGAAAAACGATGACTGTATATAGTTCAAGTTAGGAAATTTGGTTCATTATCCTCTGTGGTGTACACAATCCTAAGGCCCTCCAATTCCAAGGAAAATTTTTCTGGACCTCTGAATTCTGTTAATTTTGTACGTCAAGGGAGGGCAGTATGCTGTCCTTGGCAACAAGAACACTTTGATCTCAAGCTGCAAATGCCTTCCACCCTCTTGCCAAAGTCCCTGCACAGGGCAGACTCAATTCCTCAACCTTCAGACTTGAAACGGCTTGTGATTACACAACAATCCAACAAGAAGACCAATAAGTATGTATGTTGGAAGAGATTACGCTACTTTTATAGTTAATGGGCTAGAGCCATTCATTTCTCACCGGGGAGAAATAGAACTGGGGAATCAAGGTAAATCCCGAGGAGTCCAGAAATAGCAGATTCACTGATTCACTGACTCTCTGGGACTGGGGCTCCCAAAAATAAAATCCCAGCGCTGGGGGCTCTGATCAGTCTTGGTGACCAGCACTAGGCAGCTTTAACCTCGGGTGCCAGAAAGTGCTGGGTGGGACAGAGGCGTAAGTCTTCTTAGATCCCCAGTCCTGTGCACCAACAAAGTCGAGGTCCCGAGTGACAGTCCCCTGAGAAGTAGAGTCACCCTTCTCCCCTCCGGCTCAGCCTGAGGAACCTGAGAAAACCAAGGGGTGCTGCCGGGTCCACCCCCACCCCACATCCCCAACGTCGTCCCGAGTCCCGCGGGGCAAAGACAGAGGGAAAGTAAGTACAGTGTCCAGGTCCCAGCCCCAGGATCCTCACCCAACAAAGTTCGGTCATCTGGTGCACCAGCTGCTGGAAGCGTTGCTTCTGGGTCTCCACCTCGATGAAATGCTGCAACTGCGGGTCCACAGCGCCCAAACCCGCCGCGGAGGAAGACGAAGAGGTATCCATCCCCGCCCGACCACGCGTGCCGAGACGAACTCCGCACCAACTCACCGACCTTCACGTGTCTCCGCGACGGAACCGGAACCACAACCCGCCGCCCTGGGGACCGCCCTGCGAGCGCACTGCGCGGGCGCGACACCGGCGCCCGGGTCCAGGCCGCCACATCCCGCGCCCCAGGCGACCCTGCGCTCCCCGGCACGCGGGGCCCCTCCCGGGAGCCCGCAGCCCCGCGCCCAGCCTGCGCCTGGAGGTCTCAGGGCTTGCAGCGCAGCGCCGAGGTGCTGTCGAGACGTTATTAAAAAAAAAAAAAAGAATAAAGGAAAAGAAGAAGCTACTTCCGACCACGTGGCCTGTTCCGGGCCAGCCCAACCCGCTTCCAAATCGGCCCGCGCTTTCCCTGCTACCAGGACTGCGCACGGCCCGGACTGCTTGACTTGTTCGTTAGCCATGCTGGGTCCCTGGCTCTAGTTTTTGGACGGAGTTTTCTCCTCTTCTGACCTATGGAAATGAGGCTCTGGCAGAGTTTGTCCCCAGCTTTCAGATTCGTTTGGATATTGCATGCTTGCCATGTGACAGGCCCTGTGCTTTGGCCTGTGAATATCTCTGTTTCAGAGGCAGGATTTAACAAAAGAGAGACAGGTTAATCGCCAAGGGTCCTGTTGAGTTCTCAATGTTGGAATAGGCCAAACCATTATCACACAACAGCTTGCTTTCTTTCGTTCTTTTTCTTTCTTTCTTTCTTTTTTTTTTTTT